GGGCCCAGGCTTGTTGCTGCTGTTCTTTTAAATTAAACATCTTTCAAAAAACAACACACTGAATCAAAATGGAACAATTGTTGAGTCTGAATGATGAGCTCATGGTTTGGTTTTATTTTTATATTTTCCAAATTCAAATCATATGCATTCCATTTTTCTGTGTAATTAGAATACACGTTGATGCATTAATTATTCAAAATAGAGAAACTGAAAGAAAGAAAAATCTTTACTTTCCATTACCGAGAGATGACTTCTGTTAAAACAGTTTTTCTTTTTTCCTTTTTCCAGTGTTTTATTATTTTCCTTTTTTGTTAGGTTTTATATTTATTTTGAGAGAGAGAGAGAGTGCACACACACAGGAGAGCAGGGAAGGGGCAGAGAGAGAGAGTCCCAAGCAGGCTCTGTGCTGTTAACTCGGAGCCTGACGTGGGGCTCAATCTCATGAACCTGTGAGATTCTAACCTGAGCCTAAATCAAGATTTGGATGCTTAACTGACTGAGTCACCCAGGCACCCCACTTATTTTTATTTATTTATTTTTTTTTACAAAGTTGGTATCATCCTGCATTTCCTATTTTTAAAATGTAATATATCATGAACACTTTACCATGACATCAAATAACTCTTAATACGTATGAGATAAATGGTCGCTTTTAAATTTTCTTTGCGAGGTGGTTCATTACTTTTGTAGCGGAAAAAAAAATTCTACTTAAAAGAGCTTGGCTGTGTTAAAAACATATTTGTGCTTCCGTTTGGGGGTGCACTGCTTTGCCCAAAGGTGTAGTGGGTCCTATATTTTATGTGTAGCTCAGGTCAAGTGGAGGGTGATAACCCACCAGTATGAATCATGACATATAAAATGGAAATAGGAATAGTTGGTTTTGTGTGGACTAAATGAGGTCAGGTATGCGATGTCCCTAGGAGACCGTGGGCTGTATCAAGTGCTCAGTAATGACCAAATTGTGTCAGTCAATGACGTTGCACAGAGAACAAGATGGGTGTCGGCTGGGAATCGGAGGCCCACCCTACCTGTGTTGTGCTGGAGGTAACTCTTACGGGCTCTCTTACAAGCCCGTTGTTAAATACTCAAGGACTTTCAAGCTGGTTTGTTACACAAAGGTTGTGAAGCCATCGGTAGGTTGAAATCAGTCTTAATGGGAGAATTTACACCATGGAAATGGCCAAGCAGCAAATGCTACAAATCAGGGCTATTTCTTTGTGGATTTATTGATGTCTTTTGCCAACACACCACTGATAGGGATAATCCAGAGACAGGCTGTGCGGCTCCCAGGGTGGCTGGAGCCCTGCAGAAAATGCTTCTGAGGCTGGTGTAGTCGATTTTGTACAGATGGTGTGTGACAAGCATGAGCTGAAATCCCGGGCTCATGGTTGCTCTGACTGGCAGGAGGAATAGGGAAGCATAAGCACCGGGGAGCCTAAAAGAGCAAACCAGAAGAGTTCTTGTTTATTCTCCCAGAACAGAAATAATTGGGCAAAGGAGGAGGCAGCAGGAGATAGGGGCGCTTGTCATCTAGGATGACAAGGACCGGACAGTGTGAGAGAATGGGAAATTAAGGGCTGGAGAGAAAACCTTGCCCAAGAGTAGGCTGTGGGAAGGGGTTGAGGAATGAATGTGCACAGAAAAAATTAAAAAACAAACAACAACAACAACAAAAACAATCAAAAGGTGTAGTATAGAAGGGAAAACTTAACATCACAAAAATGTTATTTTCCTCAATAGTAACGTGTATAATTAACAGAATTTTAATTAGAGTTTTTACTTAATTGGATACATAATCTTAAAATTCATTTGGAAGATTAACTGTCCAAGAATAGCCATAAAATAATGAGGAAAGGATAGGAAGAAGGCCTTCTCTATCAGAAAATAAGTATTCACTAAGGCCACTGGAATACAAACAGTGCAGTGTAGCATAGGAATTTTTAAAAATCTATAAAATTCCTGAAACAGCATAATGAGCCCAGAAATAGATCTCAATAAACAAAACAAGGTAATATACAAAATGAAGTGGTAATATTTGAATCCAGTAGGGAAGAACTGATAAATGTAATAAATGGTGCTGACACCATGTGCTATATATCTAGAAAAAGTAAAGTTGGATCCCTATCTCACACCATATTCAAAAAAGGAAGTTTTGGGACCCCTGAGTGGCTTAGTCAGTTAAGTGTCCAACTCTTGATCTCAGCTCAGGTCATGATCTGGAGGTTTGTGGGCTCCAGCCCCACATCACGTTTGGCGCTTACAGTGCAGTCTGCTTAAAATTCTCCCTCTCTCTGCTCCTCCACTTTGTACGCATGCACGTGCACGCACATGTGCGTGCACTTGCATATGCGTGTGCATGTGGGCGCACACGGTCTCTCTCTCTCTCAAAATAAACTTTTTTTTTAAAAAGGAAGTTTTGATTGTACAAAGCTCTAAAGTAATAAAAAAAAAAACCAGTTTAAATAGAAATTTCAGCACACATAATAAAACCTGCCTGTTGGGGAGAGTATTTTTATTAAGACAGAAAAACCAGAAGCCGTATACACCTATATATAAATGATTGACACTGAAAGATAAATTCATATATTGGGATCCACAAAATAGAGTGACTCCCTGTGGACCAACCCACTTCACCGATTGAAATCTAAGTCAGCCTGGACTTCTGGGAGACACCTGTCAAGGAAATCTAACACACTAATCACAATTCTCCAACTCAGCTTTAGCCAGCTTACTTTACTGGAGAAAATAGGACCTGCTGGTGTTCTCAAGAACTCTCCTAGCTTGTAGCTAAGCAAGCTGTTTCCAAGTTTCTTTTCTGCCACTGTCTAAAGCTTGCCCTTACCCAAAATTCCTTGGGAAAAGCACTCCACTACTTGCGAGGCACCGTCTCCCCCAATCCATGGACTGTTTTCCCTTGAATAAAGGACATCAAACTCATTACTACATTTTTTTGGGGGGTCATTTGATGGCACAAATTTTTTAAAACTTTTGTATGGTAAAAAATACCACAAACAAAGTTAAAAGACAAATGATACATTTAAAGGAAAGTATTTGCAAGAAAGATTATAGATACAGAATTTATAGTTAATACCTACTATATCAAAGAGCTCTTCATATTAAGAGTCAGAAAGCACTTTAGTAGGAAAGTGGATAAGAGATACAAATGAGCAGTTTTTGGAAAAGCGATTCCAAATATCCATAAATGCACGAAACACTGGAGCCTAGTGTAGCAATTGGAGTGGTTTATCTTTTTTGGAGACAGACTAGCTGGTGGTGTGACCTTGGCCAAGTTATTGAACTTTCCTGTGGCTCCATTATATCATCTTGTAAATGGGGACACTCAGAATACCTGTCACATAGTGTTGTTATAAGGATTAAGAACTACTATACGTAAAACACTCCATACAGTGCATGGCACATAGTAAGCCCAGTGCAGAGGAAAGCATTAGGTAAGTATTGGCTATTGTATGAGCTGGAGGAATGCAAATTAGAGTAACAGAGCAATAGCACTCCTTACCCATCAGGCTAGCAAACATTAAAACAGTGACTATCTTGCTGGTGGGAATTCATTGGAATTCATCAGAAGAGACTTTATTGCTAGTTGGAAACATAGAATGTTATGATCATTCTTGGAGCACCTTCTGAGAGTATCTCCAAGCATTTGAAGTCCATCGAACTTTTGACTCAGCAATTCAACTCCTAGGAGTCTATTCTGTAGAAATAAAGCCACTGGTACACCGCAGCCTTGTATTAGCAAACAACGTGAAGCAAAATGAGAACCTATCGAAAGGGGAAGGATTGAGTAAAATCATGGCATATTCCCAACCCTGTAGTATTATGCAGTCTTTAAATAGAACGCCTTTGAGCTTTGCCAATTGATTTGGAGAGATTTTCACAGTATGTTTTTAAGTGATAAAAGCAAAGTATAGAGAAAGTATAGGGGGAAAGTGTTATCATAAAGCAAATATTGGCAACTTTATATACATGTACACGTGTTTGTACATTGTTATATGAACATAAGAATGTTAGAAAGACCAAACACAGTTATTGAGTGTCTGCCTTTACTTCATGTTCTGGTCATACTGTATACACATAGATATGTATATATGTATATAAACTCAAAGAAGTATGAGGAAGAGGATTGAAATGACCTGAAATCCCACCATCTGGAGATAATCGCTACCATCAACATTTTAGAGATCATCCTTCATATATCTCTTTGCACATATTCACAATTTTCTGTAGATGTGGTGTGTGATATCATGATATAAGCTATGTGTATTTGGTTTATGACCAGGTTATCAGCACAAGAGATTCTGAAAGTCTTGGTATTTCCAGAGTGGCAGGCGTGAGAGGGACAACTTCTGTTATTCCTAATAAGCTTCTATAATCGCTAGCGCATCCTGAGTTTATGCTAATGATGTGACCTAAGGAGCGCCCCTACCTGGGTTCCGGTCAGGGCTAGTTGCTGCAGGAACCAAGCAGTGATTACAGGTTTGGAGCTTTCAACCCTCCTCCACCCCCACCCCTGCGGAGGGGAGAGAGGCTAGAATTGAGTTAATTAACCAATTGCCAATGATTTAATTAATCATGGCTAAGTAATGAAGCCTCTATAAAAATCCTAAATGACGTGGTTCAGAAAGAGCTTCTGGACTGGTGGATGCATCCATGTGCCAGGAGTGTGGTGTGCCGCCAAATTCACGGGAACAGAAGAAGCTCCCGTGGTCAGGGCCCTTCCAGACCTTGTCCTATGTACCCCTTCATCTAGTTGTTCATTTGTAACCTTTGTAATATCCTTTATAATAAACTGGTAGTGTCAGAATGGAATTAAATTATAGGATACCCAGCTGATGTCCACAGAGAATTGGAGAATTGCTTGGTGTGGAAACCCGACACATTTAGAAGTGCCATGTGTAGAAACAGATCTTAATAGGGTTAATGCTGCTTTTATCATGTGTTCCTTTTTGAGGGGATCCCAGCAAAATCACACTGAGTCTTACCTGCCAGAAGAGACCCGGACTACAAGTCAGGAGATGCTGAAAAGTGATGGCACTTATCACCTAATTAACTCCATATGTGGGAGCAAGTCATTTCACTTCTCTGGGCTCCAGTTCCTCCCATAAAATGGCACTATTTAGTAGGTGGTCTCTGAGGTTCCTTTCTGGAATTTGGAATTTGGAATTCAGCACTCCTATACTGTTGGCTGTGAGAAAGCCAGCCTAGTATACAGAAGGCTTTAGAATCAGACAGCCCTAAAGTTCAACACCAAGGTGATGTTACTGTTACACTAATAATGAAGTGCTTCACTTGAACAATGGGGAAATAATCATCACATTGTACAATTGTAAATATTGGAAAACAAACGTAAATCACTGAACACAGAGAGCAGGTACTCTCTCAGCTCTAATGCCACTTAAGAGACAAATTATTTTTTAACAAACAAATTAAAATAATGGATGTTGCATCATGCCTAAAGGGCTACTTTGTTATTTTTAAGGTGAAACAGTTTAAAATAGGATATGAAATTCGATGAAGGGAAATTGAGAAATGATGAAACACAATACCCTTGCGGTTTCTTCAGAGAGCTCATTTCAGAACAGTTTGCAGATGGGAACTTTTGGAGAGGTCTGTCCAGGTCTACCCAGACAGGTGCTGCTATAATAACACCTTCCTGGGTTTCAGCAAAATGAAGGGAGTTTTGTTAAATTTCAACGGAGCAAAGAGCAATTTTAGTCAGGCTAAAAAATGAGTTTATTTGGGAATAGCAGAGGAATCGCAATTTGGGACGGGAAAGCTGTGGTGACCCACAGGCCAGTCCAAAGAGACAAAGGGAAGGTCAGCTTTTACTGGGCTTTAGGGAGAAACTGAGGAGGGTTGTTTTGAACAAAAGAAACGAGAGTTAGGTTGCGGTGATTTCCCATTAGCTGTAAATGGTGCTTAGTGCTTGTTGTTGCGGGGGGGCGGGGGGGGGAAGGGGGCGAGGCGGGGGAGGAATTTTCCTTTCTTTTCTTAAAATCAGGAAAGGGGCGCCTGGCTGGCTCAGTCGGAAGAGCAGGTGATCTCAGGGCCCTGAGTTTGAGACCCACTTGGGTGTACAGATGACCTAAAATAAATGAATAAACTTAGAAAAAAGCAAGAGATAAAATTCCTATGTGAAAAAATGTCCTCCCTCTTCGAAATAATTCTGAGCTTCCTTCTGCCCCCTGCTTCTGCAGCAGCTACTGAGGAACATGGGGAGAAGCACTCCTTTCAGGGGCTCCTGGGTCCAGTTTAAATGAAGTTTCCTTTATTTATTTTCACAGGTGACATTTTTTCCCCCAGTGCTAATGCACCACATTTTCCATGAAACTAAAAGGAAAAACAAAAACAAAAAAGAGTTGTGACTGAGATTTCATCAACCAGGACATTTTAGACATGCAGAACCCAGGCTTTTGCTCTTTTTGCTGTAAATCGAATAAAATGCAGGAAACCATCATGTCTCACTCGTGCTGCCATCAGTGTACCTGCATGGCCGCCTCGTGCCCTGGGAGGAGGGCTATGTCACTTCTTAAGCATTATGACACTTTGCTGAGGAATCTCAGAACCAGCCTGTCCAAGAATGCCCTTCGTCGTTAAGTCAGTGATTCAGTTAGAATCTGAAATACTCTTGCAGAGAAAATTGATTAGCAAGTTGCACCACTGCAGACCCAATATTAAACCTTTGGCTTCTTGGTGTCATTAAAAGTGCAATTCTTGGGGCACCTGGGTGGCTCAATCGGTTGAGCGTCCGACTTCGGCTCAGGTCATGATCTCACGGTTAGTGGGTTCAAGCCCCACGTCGGGCTCTGTGCTGACAACTAGCCCAGAGCCTGGAGCCTGTTTCATATTCTGTGTCTCCCTCTCTCTCTGACCCTCCCCTGCTAACACTGTCTCTCTGTCTCAGAAATAAATAAAACATTAAAAAAAATTTTTTTAAGTGCAATTCTTTAAAAACTAAAAACACTGCACAAATAGAAGGTATTATTTTGAACTGACCACAAGTCATGATTTGGGTAAGGACCAAGGAGAATAATAAACAAACGGGGAGGAAGAATTTGGGATGATTTTTTTTTCATGACATAAATTCATATTATTTATTATGTGCAGAAGACAGGAAGCGTCGTCTGGGCCAGGAGGACTCTGTCTCACCAGATACCAGCATGAGGTGTGAAAAGGCACCATTCTTTCTACTCAGGAAGAGAGCTGGATAGACCAGGACCCTTTTTTCCCTCTGCAGAGCTGTGTCTTAGGATTTTCTGTATTGGATTTGCTGTAGCGGAATTCGACTCTCTCTGAGGAATTTCTTCGAAGAGTCTCCTTTGTCTTGTGTTGCTTCCATTTGGACCACCAGGCTTTGGCACTAAGTGAAAAGCCCCAACCAGAGGGACTCATCAACCAGCGGGCTGCTGTGTAGAAGAACACATCATTTGTTTGTTTTTAATTTCTTCCCCTTCCCCGACACACATACTAAATTGAAGTGGCATTGAAAATATCAATCGGAGGGGCACTTGGGTGGCTCAGTCAGTTAAGCGCCTGACTTCACCTCAGGTCATGATCTCGTGGTTCATGAGTTCGAGCCCCACATCAGCCTCTCTGCTGTCAGCACAGAGCCCACCTCAGATCCCTCTCTCTCTTCCCTTCCCCCACTCGTGCTCTCTCTCTCTCAAAAATAAATAACTGTTAAAAAAAGATTTAGAAAAAATATCAATCTGTAAAAGAGGAAGAGAGAATTCATGGGATTTGCCCTATTTTAAAAGTAAGTGTCGTTACTCTGGAGTATCGTAGGCAGGACTGCAGGAAAGCAGTTCCCAGCAGGTGAATCAGTGGTAAGAAACTGATCAGGTTTGATTTTTAGTTTAGTTTTGTTTGTGTTCATTTTTAATTTATAATAGTAATAGCTAACATGAGCTACATACATGAGAATGCCATGTCCAGTTTATACATTGCTTTAGCATGCATTCACGACCTAATGTGATCCTCATAGTGGCATAATGATACAGATACCATCATTATCCCCTATTTTACAGAGAAGAAGACTGAGGCTCTGAGAGACTGACTTTCCCCAGGTTTTCCAGGGAAGAAGAAGCAGAGCTTGAAATCAAGTTTAGATGTTCATGGGTTCGAGCCCCACATCGGACTCTGTGCTGACAGCCAGCTCGGAGCCTGGAGCCTGCTTTGGATTCTGTGTCTCCCTCTCTCTCTGACCCTCCCCTGCTCACCCTGTCTCTCTCTCCCTCAAAAATAAAAAAAATAATAAAAAAAAAACTAGATCCCTTCCAGATTCTGGAGTTTTAGGTCTTCTTTTTTGTTTTTTTTTTTTTTAAATGTTTTTTATTTATTTCTAGGAGAGAGAGAGAGAGACAGCGTGAGCATGGGAGGGTCAGAGAGAGAGGGAGTGACAGACTGAAACAGGCTCCAGGCTCCAATCTGGCAGTCAGCACAGAGCCCGACGCGGGGCTCGAACCCACGAACCGCGAGACCATGACCTAAGCGAAAGTTGGACGCTTAACCGACTAAGCCACCCAGGCGCCCCTTAGGTCTTCTTTTAAAAAGGCAATAGTAGGACAAAGACTTTGAAGTCAGAACACCTCCTAGTTAATGCTGGTTGTTATCCTACAGCTCCTCAAACCACACTGCATGAGCTACTGTCCAAGGCCTCCTGGCCACAGTTTCTGTTGAAGGGCCTCCCCTGGGACTTCCGGGTTTCCTTACCAATACCCGCTCTCAGCTTGGTGCCTAGTATTCCAGGCTCCATGGTGAGGTGTCTTGGAGGGCAGGCTCTGAATTGCCCGGGTTTAGATCCTGACTGTCCTGTTCACTCTCTGTGTTAGCCAGTGTCTGTGTGTCAGTTTCCCCAATAGCAAAAGGAGGCTGAGCACTACCTGTTTCGTATGGTCTTGTAAAGATTACATGAGATCATATAAGTAAAGCACTCAGTTTATTGCCTGGTTCCTAGCAGGTGTTCAAAAAACTCACATTATGGTTATTATCATTTAATCTGAACACTGGCTAAGTATTGCCGGAAGACATGTTGGCCACCTTCCATTAATTTCTCCAGATGTACTAAGCAGTTATGGCCCTTGTAGAGTTGCCATTATTGAGTGATGTCTTGAGGTCATGCCCTTTGCGTGTTTGTGGGATGCTAGGTTTATAAAAGGACCATAGGGATGGTCCTTCATCCCTTTGTGCTGTATGGTGAGTTCTTCATGAGACATTCCTTTCAGAATCAAGTTCTAGTAAAATTGTTTTGTATCTTCTTGTGACCTTGATGATGGTATTTTCATTTTGGCTTGGAGCCAAATTTTTGCCTCAGATCAATCTTATTTCGCCCCCCCCATAATTTAGCCTTTCCCCCCCGTTTTGATTTGTACTTTTCATATTACTGGTTTTCTGTTTGCATTTTTTAATTGTGTTTTTAATGTCTTCATTTTGTAATTGATATTTTTGTAAGCTATTTGAGTCTTTGGAGAATTAGGCAGGGCGCGCGCACACACACACACACACACACACACACACACACACACACACAAATATCCCAGAAGGGTGAGCTGTGTATATCAAACCAAAATCACTGTATTGAATAAGCATTTAATACCAAATATGTGGTGTATCGTAAGTAATTCTTTTTAAGCAGCCAGTCTATCCATTTTCTATACCATACAGCATACCAATTCATAATTCTTCAAAAATCAAAGATTCACAGAAGTGTCTCAGCATAATTTAATAACACCCGTCATTTCATGAATATTGACTGTGTGCCCAGAAAGAGACTGACATGCGTTTTCTCTATTTCTCATAGCATGTCAGCATGTTGGGTCATATTATCTCCATTTTAAACAAAAGAAAACTAAAGTTCTGAGAGGGTAAGTGTCTTTCTCAGATTCAAATACATCCAGCTGGTAAGTGGTGGGTTTGAGATTTAACTCCTGGAAGGTCTAATTATTGTCCATGATTTCTTCAGTACATTGTGCCCCCTCTCACACAATCAAGAACTTCTCTGTTTGGTAATGGTTGTCATACATATTTCTCCTGCTGAGGCTATTTTGTCCACGTCAGATGGTACAGTGGTTTGATTCTCCTACTGGTAAGAGGTGGAGCTTAATTCCTCTTAACTT